CGGGTAAAAAGGTCCACCACCGATATCTCAAAATCAAGTAAATTTAGGATTATTTTAACAATAATATTTGAAAGTAGAGTGCAAAAGATGTGCAACTAGCCATCGCCTCAAATCAAGCAACATCGCTATCAGGAGATATACACGACCATACTTGGAAAATCTGTAACAAAAGTAGTGTCTTTTGCTGTTAGTTTTTTTTTAGTTTTGACACTGTTGTTTGGTTTACGAGACTTTAATATAATTTCAAAGTTTACATTATTCAATTGTTTTATATGATGTATTGCTGTTTTTAAGTTAGATTCAACAGTTTTTTTTTGTAGGTACTCTATATAAAAGCTTACATTTCGGTGGGGTATAAAGAGCCAATTAAACCTATATTCTGGCAAACGCACACAATAAAAACTAGTAAATGAAAAACAAATTAAGTAAAAAAAGTAATTTTGAAAAAGATAAATTAATAGTTATTCCAACTCTGCTGATGCATACTTCTGACGAAATATCAGATTTATGTTACACATAATGTTATGTCACCCTTGATAGACATTTAACAATATTTTACTTATAATATTATACTTTAGTTGTACTTGTTTATTTTTCTTTTCATTTATACTTTATGCTATTATTAATAATCTGTTAATTTCCATTTACACCAAACACAGTACACATTTGCATTAATTAGAAAACTTTTCAATGGGTATAGTTTTCTAAAAATATTATAGCTTTGTTAAGTCTCAGATCAATTACTGAACGTCTTTTAATTATTAATATTGTAATTCAAATATGAATGAAAAAAAAAAACAATGTTATCTTTGTAAAAAAGTATAGCAATGATCAATTAAGCTATTATTTTTTAAAATCCTTTCAAATGAGATATTCGACCAGTTTTTCTGGTATTCTTAAAAAGATCAGGTGACAAATTTTTCAAAAATTACTGAACATAGTAAGATTGTTGTTTTTTTGATAGTGGTAGTGGTATTTGTAGAATATAGCAGGGCCTCTTAAACTAGGGGTTGCGACCCTAAATGGGATCGCGTAGGAAAATTCTGGGGTCGCAAGAGTTTTCAGTGTAAAATATTTATATCATTTTATAACATCACGTCCAGGTTGTGTGTTCTACAGCAAATTCTTAAACTATATATTTTCATATGTATATGTATATCGTTGTCAAATGAACAAATCATCTAAAAACTTATTTTTTATATAACTGTGGGATCATCAAGAAACTCGCAATCAAAAATGGGGTCGCGAAGGACAAAAGTTTAAGAAGCCCTGGTACATAGTATAATAGGTTTGCTTTTTACAAACTGAATTAATGAACCATTTTGCCTTGCCTTATCCTATATAAAATACTAAGATATACAGATAATAAATATAATTAAAAGATATGATATGATTTTATTCATATTCATTAAATCAACTTTTTTATTAATTCGCTTTAACCATTGTCGCTAAAAAGTAATTCTTATTTTGCAACAAGGTAAAAAATGTTCCTTTTATCAAAATGATCTAAAACGGTGGAGCTTTCATGGGTCGTCCTTCGGAACGGAACCATAACCGCGCACTATATAAATTATTGCCAAAACAATACATTATAAAATTCCATTTTATTTTATTTTATTACTCCACGTGTGCTGCTTTCACACAGCCGGTCGAGTTAATAAAAGTATAATAAATCAATTTAAAACTATAAACATATTGTGCTATGAGACGCGGGCGCTCTTATGTTAAACGAATTACATTGAATTATAATGGAATCTCATTGGATTTGATTACGATTTATGTTTCCTTTCGGTTGCACATAATTTTTTATGGGAGAGTCTTTTGTAGGGCCATTGTATATGCTATAGGTGTAATCGCTTTTATAAGCTTTATTGGGTTTATGTTTCAGTTTAATAATATTAATGAAATCAGTTACGGTTCAAATCAGGATAGTAAGTGATGCAATTATTTATTTTTTTATATACGTACACTGGATGTTATAATTTATATAAATGTTTATATTATCTGTTATATTCTTCTTCTGTAAGTTTTGAATTAATAGCTATGGAGATGAACTTCCAACTGAAACGCTTTAAAATCTCGAAGTTTTCAAAATAAATTACTAAAAAAGAGTGTGCGTAAGGTTCACACGCGATTGAAGTAAAACTTTTTTTGCTACTGTACGAGATGGCATTTAAGTAAAAATAAATACATCATTTAACAATTTTGAATAATATTTATTAGTAATATGGTAACACTCGTGATGCACACATTTATTAATGTCAACCATTATACACATTTATATAATGATAAATTATAATTTATATATTTATAATAGCATTAAAAATATGTATAATATTTAAAAACAATAATGTAATTAAAGTCATACTTCAAATATGACATGATCGGTTTGTCATTGTAATTAGTATTTAAAAATGAACCTTCATTAGAGAAATGAAGTGCTGATTAATAACTTCTATAATATTCGTTCACATAGTGGATCATGTTAACGCCTAAACAAATATTGTTTTCGCAACTTCACTCATCATGTAATAATTATTTTTGAACTTCATGGGTAATTGAAATTAACATACATTCATTGACTGCTTGTATTTTTTTTACTTTTTCGCTGTCGATATAATCTCATTCTTTGAAGAGCTGTAATATCTGTCTTACCTAAATATATTTTTCATTTTAATAACTTCAGAGATTTATAGAAACTACGAATAATATAGAAATAATTTCTAATCGATAAACTTACGTTTAGTACACGGTACAAATGTTTAATTTGTTTTATTATTTTCAAGGAACAGGGTAAAATATTCTTCTGATTCAGGCATTTTTCATTAAATCAAGATTTGTACTACGATGTAACTTTAAAATGTTTATTTATCTATTTCCTTGTTGATATCGGTACGCATACAACGTTGATGCCGGCCATGGGGGATCACTCAATCTTGCTAGCCAGAAGACTCCGTAACTACTTTACCAGGGCCAAATTGAAAAAAGGATTTTTTTTTGGATTAATCATCAAATTCAATAGATGAAATCTTTGAGTAATCACTGGTAATGGTCAGATGATGATTTGTATTTTTAAAATATCTTCAATTTTTATTCCAAATGAACTACCCACTTATGGAACTGAATTATAGAAACAGGACAGCATAAAATTTGTAGAATTTAACAACACTCCAACAAAATATACTGCTGAAAATTAGTGGGCGTTCATTAATCACGTGAGGTTTTTAGAGGGAAGGGGGGTTTGACAAAAAATCACGAATAATCACTGGGGGGAAGGAGGGGTATGCTAAATATATCACGTGTATCTATTTTTACCTGTATTGTCTAAAAAAAATCCAAACATTTGGGGGTTAATTTTGAATATCACTATTTATCACTAAGGGAGAGAAAGTGTTCAAAAATCCTTAAAGATCGATTAATGGACGCCCCTAAATCACGTGATTTGAACACCCCTTCAAAAATAATATATACTGCAATAATATATACACTCCATATAATATACGTGTATACTGCTGCATTATTATTATTATTGAGCAAACATTTTCACCTGAAATTAGGTCTCCAAATAAAAGTTAAGTTTCAATTAGCTTCATTTTTTATCTAGGCTAAATGTGACTGCACTCGACAAACACAATGGATTTTTAATAACTCCCATGCAATTCAGATGACTTCTATTAAAATTATGCAAGGCTCAATTGCGATGTTATGTAATTACATGATGTAATTTACATCGCTACCCATGTGGGAAATTCTATGTATTGTTATTTCCCACCCACCTCGGGCAGTCTGATTTCAAGCAGCAGTGATATCAATTCGCGCTTGAAATGATAAAAGAGAATTATATTTTCTAGGGAGCTTTTCAGTGCATTGGTGCAATCTTGCACAACTAAAAAGGACGATTGTAGGGTTTCTTACAAATTGCTTTCAGAAATAAAATCAAAAATATCTAAGTTATTAGATAGAATGTCTTATGTTTATTTCTTAGTAACGACGTTATTAGAAGGTAATCCGTAGTTTTTTTGGGCAATCCATCATCCAAATTATGAACCATATAATTACCTTCTAATAGCGTCGTTACTAGAAAATAATAGTTCATAATAGCTTATAGATTTCCTAAAGTTCTGGTGGGTGTTAAAATAAAAAAAATTATAATTTTGTTACATAATTTTATCTAAATCATATAAACAGGAGACCACAAGTTTCCCAACTTCTTTAAACCGTAGATCCTTTAATAATTCTTGCAATTCTACTTCACAAAGATTTTTTGTGAATTCTCAACTGTACTTAACATTAGTATTGAGCACATATTCAGTTTATAAATTTATTAATAGAATTTTAAATAACAAAATAAATGTTTAATGACAAAAATGAATCTGATATGTTAATATTAAATTCTCATTTCGTGCACCAGAATTTTTTTTCGCTGATGTAGACCCTTTGTAGGATGTGAGTGACCCCTGGGGGTCTATATATACTATTTTGGAAATCACTGCGATAGACTTTAGCATTTAATTTATATTTTTTAAAATATATACTTGTTTTCTTCTTGATTTTATGAAACTGTATCGATAATTTTTGGTGGTATATAAAATGTAAAATCTATATAGATTCTATACTATTAAACAAAATAAAACTTAGATATGTTATATTTTATATATTGTGTCTTAAAATTCCCTTCATTTTTTACTGCTTAATACTGCATTAAATAATTTCAAACTTCGCTTAAACTTATTGTTTTTTCTCTATAAGATTAAGCATATATTTTAGATCCAGGATATATTTATAAAATTTAAATTTAAGATTTAATTTAATTTGGTTCATTAATAATCATCAGATGGGATTTTGTATATCATCGATATTATACACCAATATTAAACTTTCTATATTGTTCAATGTTTAAGAATACTAACAATTTTGCTAAAAATAAATAACTGGTTTAATATTTTATTCTTTATTTAACATTTGTTTTTCCTGGTTACTTAAAAGTTTTTTTCTTACAGATATGAATCCAAGTTCTTATTGTACATTCCCATCACATTGGTCAGGCAGTTGGTTTCAATCAGGAGTTCAGACTTCAGTAGAAATTAACACAACACATATTCTGCAAAAAGGTATGATATATTAGTTGTCATTGAAAAAGCTTTTATTTTATATTCAAATCAATTTGAAAATATTATTTCATACTAAGGTATTTGAAGAGGAATTCAATAACTTATACTCGAATCTAAATGAAAAAATGAAAATTGATAAACGGTCCATTCGTTTTGTGTAGTAGAAATAAAGTTTGGTATTTATTAAAAAGAAATAAATAACAAAACTATTAAAAATATATCCTATGAGAATTTACTAATATACTTTTATTTAAACAATTTTTAATTTGAAACATTATAAAAGAAATATATATATATTAGAAGTACCTATGTTCAGGAATAAAATTTTTGTTTATTTTTTCATACTAATCCATTACATACATTTGCTCGGAAATGTCGTAGGATTAAGAAAAAAAAAGTATCCAGAATTAAAATTTCAATAGAGATAGCTATATTAGTCCAGTCATTATAGTAAGTTTATCTCGGAATTCGAGATACCCAACTGTAAGTCTGTAAATACTTGTATATTGACAGTAAAAAGTTGTCTCAAAACCTACATATTGTAGGTACATATTGTAGGTATTACTAATGGACTCCTATTTAAACAAATTTTAATATTTTTTTGTAATTTGAAATATTAAAATAGCAATATATACTCGAAGCATGTTCAGGAATAATATTTTTGTTTTTTATATCAAGGCATTTTAGAAAAGCATTATAAACTCTACATTACATAAGTGCTTTTTGAATAATTTCATTTCAGGTTGTATAATGATTTGTTTCGAAATGTCGTAGGATTCTGCAAAAAAAATGTATCCAGAATTAAAATTTTAATAAAGAAAGCTATATTAGTCCAGTCATTATAGAAAGTTTACCTTGGAATTCGAGATAACCAGCTGTAACTCTGTAAATACTTGTATATGACACCCTAAAGTTGTCTCAGAACCTACATATTGTATTGACATCCTACCATATGTAGGTTTTGAGACAACCTTAGGGTGTCATATAACCTATATACAAGTATTTACAGCTGGTTATCTCAAATTCCGAGATTCTTACCTAATTTAAGCTTAAATGACTGGACTATATATACTATTTTTTTTTAATTTGTAAAAATAGTTTCGGAATTATTTAGGACGTTAGTGCGAGTCATAGGACGTTAGTGTGTTTTACATTCCACTGTCTATAAAATTAAAAAAACAAATTGACCCTATTTAAATTCCCATTATCTTCAAAGTCAGAGCAAAAAACTTTAGAAATAAGTTGCATGTCTGTTGGGACTTTATTTCAAGATTTCATCTACGATTTTTTTCAGGTTCCTGCGTCGAATCTGATTCTCGTGGCAAATTTTTGCTCCATGATAGAGAAGAATCGTGTTATAGATGTCTCGTTTTGTATGAAATGCACCCAACAGTATTACAGTATAAGGAATCATATTGCGTTTCTAGGGCGAGTCTGGATGACATCTGTGGCGATATGGTATGTATGATAAAGGACACAGTCTTATTATTGTTATATATGTAAGAAAACTCCGGAAATATTTGGTACTTCACCGCTATTTAAATGAAAGTCGTAATAATTATCAGTTTATCGTAATCCATCACTCTGTTTCTTCTAAAATAAAAAAAATATTCATACTATGAAAAAAAACGACGAATGATTTCCACTTGTACTGTAACTGGTTAACAATTTTATTTCTTTAAATCAGAGATAATTATTAATATTGTTATTTTTATGGTTAATTTTTCACATAGTATAAATTGTAATTTAATATTACAATATTAAAATAGTCACATTACTATTATTATAGTGCAAAGAATTATTTTCATATAGTATAAATTGTAATTTAATATTACAATATTAAAATAGTCATATTACTATTATTATAGTGCAAAGAAAAATGTATACATTTACAGATTTCTTTCGACAAAATTAAATACACGTATATGGTGCTGAAATGATTAAATTGGTTTTATGAATATTGACCAATCTTATTTACAATTTCAATTTTGTAACACCATAATAAAATAAGAAAATTTTGTATACATGATTATATTATTTTTATTACATTATATATCAGATATAAATTTAACATATGTGCTTATTCTGAACTTTATTACCTAGATTATTAGAAGATATCACTTTCCTATCGTTTTTCAAAGTATATCACTTTTCAGAATTTAATTTTTTTATGTATATAAATAACGCATTTAAAAAAATTATTGTCCAAATTATATATCTAATTCTAACATGGACATTTTATCTTGTTTTCTTTAACAATTAACCATGGATCTCATTTATTCTTTTATTGCAATAAATGGCAATAATGCATTTAGTTATGCAAATTATAAACTTAAACACTTAACTACTATATTACTAATATAAACTATATACAATATATTATTAACTTCCCGTAGGGGAAAATTATAGTAATGGACAAAAAATCGAAAATGAAAATTTTTGCTTATCTTTTAGTTTTTGTCAAAGGCAGGTCCCGCCATTTCGAATATACGGAGCTAAATGTGCAAAAATGACAATTTTTGAGATAACTAAGCATCCTATTTCAATGATTCAAAAGAAACTTTCTGCTTGATAAAACAATTGCTTTTGGGAAAACTAGTTTTTTCGATTTTTTTTTTTTTTTTGTATATCGAGCATAATTCAGATTTTAATTTTAATTCTGGCTAAAGTTCTAAAGCCCACTTATATACTTTGAATAAATAATTCTAACTTTGCAATTCACTTTATATAATTCTTATGAATATTAGACAATGTTACAGTATTTATTTAATATTCAAACAAACATTTAATATTCCTCGAACATTTCGTTACGGTACGGGAGTTCTAGCAATTTGCCTTAAGGCACGATGCCATACACCACTAGTTTGGTAACATTATAATTCAGTAACATTATAATATAATAAAATTTAGCAAATACTTTTATAATTTTGGATTCAAGACACTTGTATGAAATTTAAATTTAAGTTCATTTATATTTTGTCCATTATTGAGCATAAGTTGATTAGAGCAACATAACCATAACATAACTGAATGTATTTGCACATAAATATTAATAATTATTGTGAAGTGATGATGATGATTATATTTATTATATTACTTAGGAGTATAAAGCGATACTGTTACCGTTTTCAAATTAATAGTACAAAGAATTAATATATTAAGCTATAATTATTTTTTTATAATTATTAGGTGGGTGATGCCCCTTTATATTCAATGTTCCGGACGCACCCGCCTCCTGTACCTGTACCATGCCCTTTCAGAGGAGCACCTTTTGCTTTTTCCTATAATAAGGTAGGCATACATTGTTAAAATATTTAGTTATAACCATTTATTTAGCAAATTATTACAATTTTTATTTATTTATTCATATATTTTACAGGGAAGTGGCGAATGCGCTCAGCCCATATCAAGGGCAGAATCTTGCACACAAGAATCGAGGCTTTTGCTCAAGTATCAAGCATGTCCTGATGTTCATAACACTGAAAGCCATGGTAAAATTATCCTTTATGTTTATAAACAATATTAGTTTATTTTAATTATTTAGTAATTGCAATAGTTCTAAAAAATTGACAGTATATGAGGTTTCGTTTCTAAATGATTTAGACTTTGAGAGATAGAAATAAGAATTAAACATTTTGTGAGACTTCGAGAAGTCATTCTTATTAAGAATTTCTGTTGTAGAATATATATATATATATATATATATATATATATACACGTATATATATATATATATATATATATATATATATATCTTATTCAATACAATAATAATTCAATAATTAATTAATTTTTTGTAAAAACAAATATGTACTATGACTTGCTATTTTTTTCTTTTTTGAAAGAATTGATCATAATTTTATATATAAGAAAAAATTTAGGTCTAGAACTAATTCATTGATACTTATTAGGTTTAAACTTATTAAAGAAATTTACTAATTTTTATTATGTTATTGACTAAAAATAACTTTTAATAAACATTAATGTCACACTTAAATTATAGAACAATAAAATTATTATTGCTTCGTATCTGGATATCATTAGAAAATTAATGTACTGTTCAAGATAAATTTAAGTGTTTTAGTAAATAGATATTTATTAAAGCCTTCCACTTCATAATAGTTTTGCTTGTTCTTAATAAGAAGAATAATATGTATGTTTTACCAAAATTTTTAATATTATTCATAATTTTTAGTTGAGGAGTTGGTATGTTTAGCATCATTCAAAGAAGGCTCCATTAAATACCTTGTTGGCAAAATTACTCAAGTTAACCGCAGAATTGATACTAGCACTCATGAAGAAACTTACAGGTAATTTCTATAGTAATATCTTTTTATTTTAGTACATTATAATTTGCTTTATTTAATTATCATTATAATGTTTTACAGGTGTTTTGTTTACAAGAAAAGTCATAGCATGGGAAGAGTGACGTACGAAATTGCTCAATCAGCTGATGCTACTTGCAACGGATTGACAAGTATGCAAAATATAATTGAAGGGTCCAAAACTATGAGACTGACCTCAGGTGGGTTTAGACAATTTAATAACAGAATATTTATTTAAATTTGTTTTTATTAACGATTATTTTAAATAATGTTTTAGTGGACAACCAGCATAATCGTTGCAGATTTCCCTCATGGATCACAGATCATCATAAATGGTACAGTCTGGACCATTCCAGAGTGTATCACTTTTCTCATAAAAATGCAACACTTAGGGTAAGCAAAACCTGAAAAGTTTGATATTAATACTATTTCAAGAGAATCAAGTTCCAAAAACATTTTGGAATGGAAAACCCAATGTTCAGGAATGTAGCTGATTATGAAATTTGAAAATGTTATAGACATGTTATAGATTTAAGTAGCTTTCTAGTGCTGAAACTGGAGTTAAAAATCATTGCAATATTAAAAAATTACATGTTCAACTAAAACAATCTAAATCCTAACCCATTTTATTAAAAATATTTAACCCAATAAACTTTTTTTTTTATTTTATTTAACAAACGGTTCTGAACATTAAATACTTCATGCTTTTGATTGGGGCTCTGCAAATACCTTCTACTGAAGAATAAGCTTTGAAATTAATTGATTTTGATATATAATAAAATTGGAAAAGCGAAACTAATCAGTTTGTTTCAATAAATTAATCAATTAAATTTATTTACAGATATCTGATTCAAATAATGATCAGTTACAACAATCGGGAAGCATTGTCTCAGATCCTTCTTCATTATCAGCAACCAACAACGGTGTGAGAGAAATGAGATTGGTATGTCATGCTATTTTGCAAGCTGTGGATAATAATCGGGTTCAGATCATTGCACATGTAACAGAGGGATGGTAAGCATAAGAAAAATATCATTAAAGACAATTATTGTGTTAATCAAAGTTTTTTTATAATTTTTTTTTTAAAAAATCCTACAAAATATTGATATTATCAATACATATTTAGAATCAATAAAAATAAAAGAATTTATGAAATTAAGATGATTATATTAGTATTTTTCTTTCAGTAATTCTGGGCACATATGCATGGCATTTGCTCGAAGAGATACTGGTGTGATAGAACTACAACAATCAGAAACTGTTCGAGACCATTCTGATGATGCTTGTCATGATTTCCACACTTCAAGAATAAGACATCAAACTCTCATAAGTCAGTTGAATTACTATTTATTAAATATGCCATTAATTAATCATTGTGATTTAATTTTTTTTTTTTTGTATATTTTAGCATCAACCTTGCAGCCAAGACCTTGTCCGCATGCAGGGAAATATTATGTCCGGAACGAAATGGTTTCAACTCGGAAGAAGAGACAGAAACCAGGTGTGTGATTATTCAATTTTTAATGAATTTTTGGTATTAAGCCTTTGCTTTTTTAAACTTAACAAATGCACAATTGGCCGTAAATAAATATGTGTCTATATTATATTATTGGATAAGAATGAAAAATTTAGGCTTTTTGTTTTCAAAATATATTATGATTTTTTTTATTTTTATGTTTGAGAATAATTTGCATAAAATAATTTACTCATGTAGGTGCTGAAGATTCCGTTAGCTCAAATCCATCACAGACTTCAAATAATGGAGCTGGTGGAGGTTCTGGCGCAGCGGTTGGATCAACTGCAGAAGAATGTTCTGAATCTTCACGAATGGTGCACTCATTGGAAATGGGGTGCTCAGCCACCAGCAATGAAATGCTAGTGTTTAGATCGCAGTGCTCGGATACAGGTTAAAACATAATTATTATGTTTTCTATACTAAAATATTAAAGAGTAGAACAACTTTTAAGAACTTTCAAGAATTATAGGGTTTGTTTGAATTTAATATGGGAATTCTCATACTTCTATTTGATTGTACCAAATGGTAGTATCATCATATATAACTCACAGGATTGTAAAGAATAAATTACGTGTTTTACTGATTTACTGATTCATATTTTAATAATTATATGAAATTTTGCAAAATTGTTTTCAAATACAAGTTGTATATTTTTCTTCATTTTTAGCTTATACCTGTCATGGAAGTTGGCACGAAGCAGGTGTGAATTATTTAATTGCTGCTCCGATCTCACGAAAATCGAATGATGTTCGTCGATACTGCTTTGCATATACGCATACTCATGCTAATGGTAAGAACAAGACCTTTTTTACCTTTTCTATTATAATATGACTTTTTTTTAAATTAATTGCATATTGATATATATATATATATATATATATATATATATATATATATATATATATATATATATATATATATATATATATATATATATATATATATGAGCCCCTCAGTGCAGACATTGACTAATTCCATTTTTTGAAAAAACTGAGATATTAGTGCGAAAGTACTCAGTGTAATCATAACTGTTAGTGATAATAATGACTTTTCGGAATAATTAAAATTAACACTGTAAAACATATTTTTTTTTTGACCTCTGAATAATAAGTCATTTATTTCAGAAGACATTTTGATTAACTCCATTTTGTAGTGCATATGTTCCGGCTGGACCGGTTTTCGGGTTTCATGAATCACAAATAAGAATTTGATAAAAACATAAACCCTAAGATTGTTTGGCAAAAAACTGTAGAGTCTCAAGGATGTTACAAACTTACATACTAAAATTCGTGTACCCGGCAAAACAGAAATATTAAAACTGTCTTAAGTTTATTGAAACTTGTTTAAAATACGGAAATAAGAGCTAAGTCAATTGAAATGAAATTTCTGGTCAGTGGAAATAGCTATTAGATTATTGAGTCACGTGTAAAAAAAATCGAGACATTTTTTCACTAGATAATTGGTACAATGTAATAAAAACATGTAAAAGGAAAGCGCCATTTTAGCTAATCCAAATATTCCACGAAGATTTTTTATCAACAAAGCCATTAGAACAATCACTAGCAGAAAAGTAACCATTACAGAGTGTCCAGTAAATTTATAAAGTTAGAAATCTTATATAAGCCAATATTATATAATTTAAATATGTCTATAATGAAGATACGTATTTTAAAGCTATTAATATAAGAAAGTCTGTACCAGGTTGACCAAAATGTTTGAATAATATACAATAGTCATTATTATATTATAAAGCTAGAACTTTGAAAAGGAAAAATTGAGAGACATAAAGGACTTGCTAAAATTCATTCCCCCCACTACGAAAAATTGACAGAAATTATTCTAATCATCATAGAATACAGCTGATAGAGAATTACTGATTAATCACAAATAATATATTACAACAGTTAACATTTATTTTTATGAAAATGCTTTAACACAAATATATAAGAATTAGGTTTATTATTTTTTTTCAGTTGACAACTTGATTAACTCCACAAATCATATCAAATCTTTAACTTGAATTATAATTATTTACTCACTATTTACTGTAATTAACCTTATATACCGTCACATGTAAGCTATATATGTATTTATACGTTCTACATTATATTTTCCAACTTATATTATTACAGGAATTTTCAAAAGCAATTTGCATTACTTCATCGCTTTTCTCCACTTTCTGTTTTTTGGAGTTAGTCGATGTGTGCACTGAACGGCTCATATATATATACATTATTACAAATTGTAATGGTTGTCAATTTTTGGAAACTTGCAAAAAAAAATGCAAATATAGTTAAGTAGTTAAAGTTTAAAAACGGACACAGATGTTGATGAGTTTGTCTGATGAATACGTGGTGACTGGTCTGAAGAAAATGGCCAATTCCTTTGAATTAAAACATGAGATTATTGAAAAAGATTTTGATAATGAGCACAACAAATCATAGTATGTGTTCTGTGTTTAGACAGAAGGGGTTGATAAAGTGTATAACTTCACTTAAGGGCCTTATAATAATTTATAAGCAGCTTTCTAAACTCTAAAAGATTATGGATAATAATCACCCAAAAAAAGTTGCAACAGTTTGAGAATAGGAGTTGTTCAACGAAACATATCTAAAAAGCATTAGGGCAAGAAAAAAACAATAATACAATAATTTAATTACTAAATAGTAAATTTATTTTTTATGGAATATCAATGTATCTGCTGAAAAATTGCTGTATGATACGACCGATTCGATATACGAGCGTTGATAGAACAAATTTACTCGTATGTCGGGCCAACACTGCGTATTATTATTATTATTATTATTATTATTATTATTATTATTATTATTATTATTATTATTAATTGTTATATTTTTTGTAGGTTCCAGCACATCTCCAACATCAGCATTTCAGCAGCAACAAATCAGCTTCAGTGGAAACTACCAGCAATCTCAATCTCAGTCTCGATTGCAACCTCAGTCCAGCCAGTCTACTAGTTCTCGTCCTGGTGGAGTAGCCATGAAGCTTTCTTTGTTGGCTGAGACTTGTCATCGGGACGTCGAACTTGGCTCTCAGGGAGAGAGAGCTTATAATTTGACTGGGAATGGTATGAATTATTCGTAATATATAAAAATTACAAGTTTTGTGAATTTTTCTATATGTATAAAAAATATCTTATAATTATGCACTCGGCTGTTCAAATACTTCGTGTATTTTCGCGCTTATTTCAAACACGGTGTATGTCCTAAAGACGCGGTTCATTATTTCAAACATTAATGATTTTTTATAATTATACCACTTTTTGTAACATATAATATATAAAGGCTGTTTATCAAGGCCATAAACTCTATCGCTGAGCAAAGTTACATTATTAAGTACAAAGAAATGGCCCGACCTATCTTTACCAGAAACGAAATAACACATAATCTTCAGAATTTTTGACAAAGAAGATGATAAAAATTTTTGGCTTGATCATTATAAATAAATTAATCAATACAATCAATATAATCGAATTTTATTAATTGGCTTTCAATGTTTCAAAGTTGATGGAGCCGCTTTTTTGTAAATGTCGCCGAAATTTGTACTAGCTTATGGATATGAATAATATAAGATTCATAAAATGTTTAAGGGGGTTGTTCTTTTTTTTGTTACTGTTTTTCTCGAAATGTATTGATCATAGAGACATGCGTTTTTTTTTAAACAAAAATTACAAAATCATAGAATATTAAGAAATTTTATATATTTTTTTTTGTTGCCGTCATTTGTTAACCAGGGGGCGCCAAAGTGGGCATTGCAAAATCGATCTCCTTTGCGGTGCCACAGATAAATCCGTTGCGCATCGCCTGAAACAAAAAAAAAACGAAACTACGTTGAAGAAAAAGTTTGAATCCAGTCCCCCTACCAAAATAAAAGATATAAAGCAAGAAAGAAAAAATGGCAGCTATTTAAAAAAAAAGTGTTAAAAAAGGCCTTGTTATTGGGACGAAAAGCTTCGCAAAATTTTTTTGCGTTATGTTATCAAGTTGTTTGAGATAGGGGGACTAGGTATTGCAGTGGTGAACAAATTAAAAAAAATGCAAGTCGATCCGACTTGTAGTCTTTTTTTAATTTGTGGCACCGCATTGAAAAAAGTCAATTTGAGAAAAACGTATTTAAAGTTTTTAATATAATGTACTAAATACATCATTTAATTTAATGTACTAAATACACCATGGTGTTCAAAGATGCTGACACATTAAAAAGCATGAGGTATTATAATGAAAAAGAGAGCAGCTGGCATACAATAGCTCCGGAGCGATGAAAAAAACGGTTTCAAAGGATCATACATATAGATATATATATATATATATATATATATATATATATATATATATATATATATCTATAACTTCGTCAAAAATATAGATATTGGGATGATTTTTTTTAAAAAATAATTCTAAGGTTTTTAGCTTTCATAATATCAAGAAATCTCAAAATCGAAAAAAAATAAATAAAAAAAGAATAACCCCCTTAATAAATGTACCGAGCAAAAAAATTGTCGTGATCTCTTTATAATATTAAGCTATAAACATTTATTTTTGAATATAAGTAGTCATATTTTATTTGTGAAAATAATTAGTTTTTGCTCAGGTTTTTAAGTTAAATTGATAGTAGAGTATTATCAAGCAGTAAATAACACTATTTTAACTATTTTAAGAATTGTCTAAGCTTTGTTTTTTCTAAATTATACAGTTGAAGTATACTATTATCAAAACAATCACATATGAGTGAAATTCTATTTTATAATAATTTTGTTCTGTCCATAGGCACATGTGCAGATCATTCGAGCGCAACAAGGTGCTCTTCACACTTTGTCTCCATGCTGTGTTTTGTTTTGCTTTGTGTCATGTATCAAATAACAAGGTGATAAATTTACTTATAAAATTCAGTGAAGTGAACAACTAGATTTTGTATTCAATTGCTAGACAAGTAAAGACATGTATGTGATGTGTATACGTATTTCAAATTGTTAGTATGATTCACACGGGCACGAATATATACTTGCATATGTATATACATGTTTATTTATAAATATAAACATATATACATATTCATGCATATATTATAAAGATAGCTTTATATACTTACTGTTTTTATTTATGTGTGATTTGTGTATTTAGATATTTGATTGGATTTATATATGTATATGTATGTGTAAATATATATAAATACATACACATATATATGGGAATGATTTTTGAGAGAAAGTATATGCAAATAAGTATTTATATAAATAATATATTTAAAAAAAAATCCCAATTGAACTGAAATCGGTTTCTTTTAACTGACAAGCTAAATTGTTTGTTTTTAACTAGATGTGATTATTATATTGTAAGAAATTATATTAATATGCATTTATCTGTATGTGTGTCATGCACATATATACATATATGCATCATGCATATATGTATTACATATAAATGAATGCAGATTCATTGTAAAACATCTGTAAGTTTTAGAATATTTTAGATTTGATCAACGTGTATTGTATAGCTTTTTAAATTTTCATGTTCGTCAAGATGCTTTGAAAGGGAGCTAATGTACATTAACATCTGTGTATATATTTATTAAATTTATTATAATCTGCTAAATACTTGGAAATTAGTTGATATATATGAAATATTTCTATAAAACGGTTTCAAAATAGAGAAATTTAAATGATCAAATGTTTTTATTATAACTTATACTTATAGTAACGTTTTTATTATAACTAATGCAGCGGATTTTAATAGATGCTTGCACTGTATAAGATTTATTCTGCTTTAAGACTTAAACATTTGTTATGTATGTTAGTTCTCGAATTATTTACATAACATTATGTAAAAACATAAAAAAATGGTTTCAATGTATTAGTACCTTGTTATATATACATATATATATATATATGTGTATATATATTTATGATTTTTTGTAGATTAACATTTTAATTTCTCTTATACTTCAAATTATACTTTTTGAAGTATTCATAATATAATTGAATAATTGACATGAATATAGTTTGAATTAAAATAATTATATGTACATAAATATTATAAAAATAAAAATTGTCAGGTTTCTAAAGTTTTAGCATAAATATGCACGTACACACACAAAATTATGCTGGAAAATAAGATTCATGTATAATTTTTTGTTTATTACTTTATTATTTTACTATACTGAATAATCTGGATTTGAGAACTGTTGGTTATAGGTTTCTAAGAAAGTTTTTAATTAATTCAGAGTGTTTAATTAATTCTCATTTATTATATTAATTGTTTATATGCATAACTCTTTTTTGTGTGTGTATGTATACGTATTATCATCTATGTCAATATCAATATATATTCATGATAACATTTATATGATATGAATTAAATGTTAAAATGAAATAATTGATACATTTGTAAATAATATAACTGTGATTTTATGAATATGAGTGTTGAAGCGACAAGTGTTTTTTCAATATGAAAAATATGTACAGTGTGAATGTGTAAATGAGTATAATATATATGTGTATATATATATATATATATATAATGTATGTATATATGTATAATGTATGCGTTTAGCGATGTGTCAATTTGGAAAACTTAATTTGAAACAGATTTTAATTGATTTGTTTTTATTGTTCTATATAAGATGAATTATTTCATTTTTTCCTCAAAATAAAATTATCTGAATAATAAAATTATTCACTGACTCAAATAAAAAAAACAATCTTACTATCAAACTTTATAATTTATTATCAGCGGATCTTAGATTGATTTAACATTTGTTTATTATAATTAATTAAAATAAGAATGTTAATATTAAATAAGAAACATATTTGTTTTCTTTTTACAAATTGTTTGAATGGCTTCAAATATAGTCAGTGTGATGTTATTGTTTTTCATGACAAGTTTTAACTATATAAATTTTATGAATTATTTTATTTATATTACATTATAGTCCTGAGATGAATTAAGTAGAGTCAATAATTATTTTATTCGACTTCTGGCAAATTTTGAATTGGCATATCACTGACATGTATATCTATGAATGTTTGTGTATATACTAAAGTCATCACAATAGAACCAGTTTTTACTTTTAAAGAAATGAAGGCATTTATTTTCTAGATTCGCAACTGTTCCAATTAATTTTTAGAAAACAAATCACTTTTACTGTCAGGTATAACTCAGTGCTGGATTTACAGTAGGGGCAATCGGGGCTACTGCCCAGGGCGGCAAATTTTTGGGGGCGGCAAAATTTGGATAGTGAGAAAAAAATTCTATACAATATAATCAAATTTTTTTAACAATATTTTTATATTTCAAGAAATATAATTAACAAAACATAATACGATTGCAATGCAAAATTTGGGTTAAAATAACCGATTATTAAAATTTATTATTTTGCCTTGCCTCCCTCTCCGAACGTAAATTATCAAATTGGTTCATAAGTTATTAAATTTGGCAATTTGGCTAATATAAAGATCCGTAAACAAGCTGAAAGTTTAAGAAAAATATTTACTACAGTTCTCGAGCCCTCTTAAAATGACGAATTTGTGCACTTCCAAGCTTATAGCGTCGAAAAAAATTTAAACTAGTGACTCATGGCATTGTGCATTAAGACAAATTACTGAAACATCCCGTACTGAAAATTACATTTCATAAAGAGCTTTAAATTTTATTGAAAAATGAAAAAAAACTTCTAAAATACATTTTTTGTATTTTGAAATTTTTCGAAAATTATAAACTTTTTGCAAAGTTTTTGAGAAAAAAGCGTCGAATAACATTCAAAAAAATTTACAGAATAAATAACTGCTTAAATTTGTGGGGGGCAGGTTTAGCGGTTTCGATGATCCAATAGAAAAATTTGAAAAAGAAACATTTGGCGGACAAAAGTGATCATAAGACATATGCACATTAAATTATCAGATACTTTAAAGATATTAAAATAATAAGTATAAATTTTGTTTACATTTATATAAGTTTTGTAACATTGTTTATCCGTTAGACTGCGACGCGGCGCTTACGCGCTTCTATATTTTGTCCCTCGCAGCTAAAGCAGCGCGATTGCTTTAAAAAAAGTTCCAAAGTTCGTAAAATTTCAGGGATGGGGCGGCATTTTTGTCAGTGCCCCGGGGCGCCAAATTTCTAAATCCGGCCCTGGGTATAACTATTTCTTAAATTGATTACTTAGAAAATCTTCTTTTCTAATTATTTTAATACTCATGAATTATCAGTTTTGATAACAGCTCCTTCTCTTGAAATCTAAGCTCTTAGTGTATACATTTTTAATCTGAGCAAACGTTGGTAAAAACTTCATCTTGAATTGGAACATTATTTGTTTATAAATAGATGTACGTCTATGGAAAATGTACACACATTAGGTACGTCTGAAATGTATGATAGAAGGGCATATGTGAGTATATTACTTGCTTGCTAATGGCTATTTGTAATATGGGCAAGGTGTTATATTTTGATTACAAAAATATGGAATATATGTATATGTATATGTCTGTATATACATACTTTCACTTTATATGTAATTCAACATATACATGTACATATGCAAATATATGTATGTAATAAGTACATATTGCAATGAGATATATTAAAATATATATAAACATGCAATTTCTGCTCTTTTATTTGCAGTTTCTGTTTTCAGATAATGCAAAATAATAATGCTTATTATATCTACTGGATTAATTTCAAATTATATATTTGTCCTAATAATAATATAATTTACGTTTTTTTTATTCAAGCAGGTAATTTTTTATAGAATATACTAGTACTAAACTCTTAATCATTTTAACTGTATTGTATTATTATATTCATTTGATAATGTTACTTAATATATACTACTTAATGAATACCTTTCACAAGAATTTAGTAATAGTCTGTTGGATCAATTTGTCTCTTATGTAGATTATTAAATTATCTAATAACAAATTAAGCAAAAAAGGTTTCGTTTGAATATTTGCGCCTTTTTTTAATTCTCTATGCGCCTAGGCGATTGCATACAGCGCCTCTATGCAAAATTGTTCCCAGTTCGTAGGGAACTACGTAGTGACTACCGGGTTCATATGGTTCTGTGTCAGATGGTGCCACAGACCAAACGTCAAACGTTTGACAGTTCTTCGACGACAAGTGAATATGAATTCAAAATAATCGGATGAATAAATGCATAGACATTATTAGAATATGATATATTCATAAATACGGATAAATATATATTGTTTTGTATATCATTAGATGTGTACTATTTTTTGCCCTAACAGAAATTGAATATATAAGTACCAATAGTAAAAGTAAGTACTAAATGATTATTATTATATTTCAAATGAAATTTTTAATTGTAATCGTTACAATCATTATTATATTGTCTAGGGTTACAATGTTAGTATTATCATAGTTTAAGGGGGTCTTCTACCTTGGGGCCTCATTTTTGATACTGTTTTTTGATAATGAATCCAAGGGAAACCAATAATTCAATGAAGGTGCGTTTTTTTGCATTTAACTTGTTTATTTCTATTCTTTTAACATAAATTTTAATGAAATTTTACTTTCAAGATCCAGAATTGCTGTAAAAATCATTGAAATGAACAAACAAATAGTCAATTGATCAATTACTTTTCGAGATATTTTGTCAACCAGTTGCGAAAACTGAGATGCATTCAAAGATTTTGATGCATTGATCATGGAAGAAAAGTTACTTACAATCTATCTGCAATGCCAGGGCTATAAAGTACCATTTCAATATTATATTTCTAGTACAAACTTGGGAAAATGCATTCAAAGATATTAATGCATTAATCTTGGAAGAAAAGTTACTTATGATTTTTTACAAACAAGTATTTAATTATTAACAATAATTTCACTTAATTTTTATTTTTTAGTGTTGTGGACTCTTTTGCTGTTTCAAGTAAAGAAATCTTGGAAAAAAACTGTTTGCGAAGGTAACAGATTCATCACTGTACCTCAGGGATAATTAGACAAGTCTTTATACATGTAGAAGTTATCATTTAGATCAAGTCTAGACTTGATCTAAATGATAACGATTATATCAGCTGATATAAACTCCTTTATTAAAGGTTACAAATACTGTTAATAGTACCAAGTCTGATTTCCAAATATTTCCTAGAACATTAGGTTTGGGTAAGTTTTGCCACATTTTATAAACTTTTTATTCTGAAATAATAATTATGTTTGTTTAATACTGTATTATTAGATCTCCCAATCAATTTTATATTACTTAAATCGACATTTAAATATCCAACTAATAATAAAGTTCTTTGAAGCATTCAACATATAATATTGTTTTCTGAAGGTGCATCAGTGAGCTTTAATTAATTGTTAATCGATATTTACAGGACTCAGTTCCTAAAGCTGTTGTTTGTAATTTATTAATTTTTTGTCATTAACAAGTATTAAATACTTATTAATACTATTTGCAATAATTTTAAAGAAATTCTTTTTTATAGTTTTATGGATTCTTTTGCTGATGCAAGTATACAAATTTAAAAAAAATATATAAATACTCGGGAAGGCAACAGACTGTACTTCAAGGACAATGAGACAATTCTTGATAATAGAAGAATGCATTTAGATCAAGTCAGATATTAAAGAAACTTTTAATGCAACAAGTTGGATTTGCAAATGTTATATAATTCCTAAAAATATAAATATAGGTAACTATATATAAATTATTATTATTATTATAATTATGTATATGATGAGAATCAAGAATTATAATTATATTGTATAAAAGAAGACTTCAAGCATTCGAATACATTCATAATAATCTTGTGGAGATGATGATTTTTGATGGATTTGATTTATATTTTTTTCTATATACAAATATATTTTTTTGAGAAGACTAGATTGTAATAATATCTTGTTTCCTTATAAAAGTATGTTAGTAGTAAAATATTTTATGTTTATTATGATTTTTTTTTCATAATAAACATTATATTGCTATTATTTAAATGTTGAAATAATATTACTAGAATTCAATTAATCTTTATTTATTTTTTTATTTATTATTTAGTATGCAAAATAATATAAATACATTCATTTGGATGCATATAATTAATATAATTTTTATAATGATAATGTAAATTATAGAAACCTTACTGCCAAAGACAAGAAGGATATGATTATTACTGTATTTCATATATTCATAAGTTTATTATTTAATTAATGTTGTATTACTACATTCTATTATTTGTTATTACAACTAAAATTTGTTTATTATAGGAGATTCTGAGAATCCAGTGCAACGTGCCTATTCACATATCCTGCCTGCAATAGACTACTCTGACTTCTGATTTTTAATGTCGTTACACTGGATCATCTTCTCAGTTCTGAATCCTGCTATAGGCCATCTCCAACACAGACTTTTGGAATAGTCTAACTGAACATCTCACAGTTTCACACAGACCTTATACACAAGTTTTTGTCAAATTATCCACTTTCATCTATTGATAAAGTCTATTTATAAGAATCTGTTGACAACTTGCAGAGGCAACTAAGCACAAATAAGAAAAATGAAAAATCTGATCATGAGTATTATAATGATGTACAAAAAGGAATAGTCTGTATACTTTAAAGACCAGTTTTAGTTATATGTGTGTTTTACATCGTCTTTTATATCATTGAAGTATTTCTTGTAAATAAACTTTTATAGATTTTTTATGAACTATTTGAAACTATTTAAAACAAATATTTATACAACAGTAATACAACTTATTATATTATAACGTACAAGTGTATTATTGAGATTTAAATCGAAATCTGATAGCAATTAATTTAATATACAATTAATATTGATAAGATTATAAAAGAGCCATTGTCCTCTGCCAAATTGTATGTACAATTATTATCATAACTTTAATTGTTTATAACATCTAAACTTGTAAAATATGTGATCAAACAGAGTATTTAATGCAAATTTAAGTTTCTTTATAGTAATTCTATAGTTATACATTTTTATTTGTGCTTGTTAGATTAAGTTACTGTTATTTTTTATTTGCACTTAACTTAAAGATCTAAATTTATTTTATATTAATTTGCTGTTGATTGAGAAATATCTTCATCAAGCAAGGAAAACTGTATTCAAATTGCTAATAAATTTATAATGAATAATGTACATGATAACAATAATATTAGCAATCTAGTTACAATCATGTTAGTTAAATCTATTGTGATGAAAATTCATTAATCAGATGTAAGATAAATAAGTCAACTTATATATTAGTTTTCAACTAGATTTTGTTAATTATTCTCATTAAATGCCACAAGTTCTTTAGACAAAGTATATCCTTGTAATATTTTGCAAATATATAAATAAAAGCATAAATAATTATATTTGATTCTTTTATTATAGAATTTATGTGCATTTTATTGAATTTTCAGGTTGCTTTTGGCAAACAATAATTAATAGCCACAGATATTATTTTTATTAATTTAAAATTTAAAAATTAAATACATTTTATTGATAAAACAAACTATTTATTTTGCGTATTCACTATTATTTTTATTATTCAAAAACTATCCATAAGAATTATCCCTAACGTTTTAGCAGACGGCCCTGCGTATTACTAACGTTATTTCATTTTCGGATTTGCGTCTGCTACCCTGGTAGTATGAAGCCATTTCAGTTCGAAAAATGTTCGGCAAAATTAAATTTTCATACAAAATCTCGTCATTCTGCCAGGGGAACAGTCACAATTCTGAATTTGACAGCGCGTTCATATCGCACAGGACCGCCTGCTGAAATGTTAGGGGTAATTATTTTGAATATTTATTTAAATTAAAAATGCAATTTATTGTTTTGGGATATTTTAATAAGTTTTGGTGATGGGAATGGTATTTTAACATTAATATTATTGTATTAACATTTAAATGAATAGTAAATAGGCATCATATAAGAAACAATTACTATAAGAGACAATTTAGTTATTCGTGTGTATATAAGACAATTTTTGACCTTCCGTCAATATTTTCTCAAAAATTTAATATTTACAATATCCTGTTGTTATTAGTTAGTCGTAGCGTATTTAAATAATGAAAATACATTTATAAGTATTATCTGAGCGAGTGAAATTATTATAATGAATTTTAAATTAATTTAGATATTTATTTAAAAAATGTTAAAATACGGTCCTGGTTTCTTGACAAATTTCATCCTGCTTTTTGATTGGTTGGCCCCGCTTTCTCGCTATCTCGATAAAAGAAGAGTATAGAGCATTCTGGGCGCCGGATACAATTTGACAGCTACAAAATCATTTAACGTGTGACCGTTGATGAGAATGCATCTCAATCAAGATTAAATTATTAAAGTTTTTGGTGTAGTTGTGATTTTTAATTAATTCTAATTGCGCATTACTCATGAAGCCAGTTTATAAATTAAAAGGAGAATAATGGAGAAACATATTGAATACAGGAAAAAATATAACCAACTAAGGGGGGTTATAAAAGACAATCACGTCGCCTGTATCGTAAGTCTATAGATCTTTTTTGCAAAGTGACTATTTTATATTAATGAATAATTCTTCAGGAAAGTACTGCTCTAAAGTAGATTACATTGCAAAAATGCAGCACAGTATTCTAATTTTTAACATATACTTATTTATTGAAAATTTTATTGATCTGAAGCAGATATCTTGAATCAACATCACTCTCAATTTCAAAAAGATATGAAGATAGAGCTGTTAAATTGAGAGATGATCCTATCCTGACAGTAAATGAAATAAAGTTTTCGAATATTTTATATTTGAATATACTACAATTAATTTAAGTAGCTAAATCGAGATGAAACTAGTTGATCACTGGAAAAAATATTGCACAAAAACTTCCAGTTTATGTATTAGGCCGTGCACTATTTACTAGATATATCAAAATTTCAAATTTTTTATTTTATTTGATTTCTATCACTTAGGAGTAGCAGCTTATAATTATAATTATATATAAGCCTGGCATACCGAATATACTACTATACCCAGTAGGATTTGTTTCTGTTTCTTGGAGGGTATTTATGGTAGTTTTTGTGAATCTGATAAAAAAGTACTTACTTATACTTGTAAAATTATAATATACTATAGTAGGAAATAATATACTATGGTGGAAATTCACCTAAGCATGACAAAACATAGAAGATCATTTCATCAATGTATTATATAGATATAATATACTGAGATGAATATCTCATATATCTTTCATGTTTAGGTAGCACTTTACTTCTGTCAGGAAGTTATTAAAGCAGCTGATATATGAAGTTTAGATCACCAACAGGCTAGGCTTGTTTGCTACTGACTTCTTTGGATTATCGAATTCTACAATATTGTACTTAATATAAAGCATGATACGAGTTTGCAATGCTCCTATTGATGAAGTAGATTTGAAACAATCTGTTGACATCTTGAATAAGTAATAAGAAAGATGAAATATCTGAGAGTGAACATTATAATGATGTAAAAAGCAAGTTGCCTTTGTATCTTTGAGAAGAAGTGAATGGATACAATCTCAAGAAATATTTTTATCTGATACTGAATCATTTGGTTAAAGTGATCTATTCAACCATGAAGGAAATCTTGAATAAACATCATTCTTAATTTCATAATGTTTTGAACATAAAGCAGTTAAATTAAGAGATGATTCTATTTTGGCAGTAGGTGATATACAAATTTTTTAATATCAAAATGATGATTTAGATTTGAAATATCTCAAATATCTTTCAATTATAGGAATCACATTAAACTTCTATCGGCGAGTTTTCAAAGATGCTGCTATTTCTGGATTAACAGGCTAATGATTTTGGCATTTGCTGATTATCAAATCCTACACTTAATACATCCTACGCTTAATTAGTATAATGATTTCGCAAAATGTCAGCATTACAATGGCAAATTTGAAGTAAGTTTAACTTTTCTAATCTTTTAAATAATTATATATATATATATATATATATATATATATATATTTCAAAGTAACTATCAACCAATTTTTTTTGCCCGGAAATTTTTTTTTGTAAATCGAAAATAATTCAGATTTTACTTTTAATTCTGACTATAGTTCTCATATACTTCAAACAAATAATTTCAACTTTGCAATTCCAGTTTATATAATTCTTATAAATATTAGACAATGTTACAATATTTAGAATAATTTATTTGAAAACATTCAGTATTCCTCGAACATTTTGTTACGGTACGGGAAGTTCCAGCAATTTGCCTTAAGGCACGATGCCATACACCCCACTAGTTTATATATATATATATATATATATATATATACATTATTTTCATTTATTTATATATATATACACAATTTCTAAATATTAATTTTTTTATAAAATAAGTGCAAGATTCTAATATTGTAACGAATCCTATATCCGCATAAATATATAAGATATCATTGTAATAAGAAAAAAAGAAATATTTAACAGTTTTGTGAAAGCATAAAGAAAAGTAATAAGTCTTATAAAAAAAATACATTTATTATTTTAAATAAAAACATATCATAATCAAATATATTCATCATCCTTATTCACTTATTCATTATCAGGAATAACTTTATTTCTTGCAACCATAAAAGTCGATATAAGAGCTGATAGCTGCACGTTTTCACTTGCACCCATTTCCAAACGCATTTCTATTTCAGACAGATCTATTAGAATTTCACCCAACACCTGATTCGGCAGTTCGACTGTAAAAAAAAATGTATTTGAATATAATTTTGGAATGTCTTAGCATTTATAACATGTATGTGAAAAAATATACCTCGTTTTATAAACCGGTGGATTTCAGTTAAAATATCATTAAGAGCTAAACCTTTAGCAGATTTTATTTCCTGAATATCTGTATAACTTGTTAAAGAATTTTATATAGTAACAAATTAAAATGTACTTTGCAGTATGAGAGATAAGAACTCTTTCAGATATTGTTGTGAAAAGAAAAGGAAACTGAATCGGACCTATATTGAGAAGATTGCTTAAGAAAGGAAAATTAAAGGAAAGGAAATTGAAAACTGAAGTCTGAAGAGTAAATAGTAAAGAAGAAAAAATAGAGGTAAATTAAATGTAATGACCACATGCATAATAATAATTATTATTATTATAATAATATGGATATATATTTCCATATATATATTCAGGGTGTGAGTGTGTGTATAAGATTTAAAATAAAGGATACTGTTATATGTTTCCTTAAAATGTTTTTCATTCAATAGCCATCGAACAATATGTGAAATATCATTTGGTATTGGATGACCCACACATGTATACACCTAAAAAATTATACCACATTAGTAGATCAAAGTATTTTATAAATTAAGATATTTGATGAACAAATATTTACATTTTCTTCATTAACAACATCAAATGCCATTGATGTACTTTGCAATATATTCAAAACTTTACGCATATCTCCACCAGAAAGTGTTAATAAAGCTTCTCTTCCATCATCTGTCATGTTAACTCTAAAACAAAGACAATTTTGATACAATACAACTAATCTTTGTAAAAAAATCTAATAAATTATTCACTAACTTTTCTAACTCAGCAATTTGATTCAGTCGTGGAACAATTTGATTCTTATCCAATGGTGCAAACCTAAACCGAGTGCATCTTGATTGAAGAGCTGGTATAATTTTACTAAGGTAGTTGCATATAATACAAAATCTAACATTTTCTGTATACTTCTCGACAACTGAAAAAAGACAATACTTAGTTATAATTAATTGTCAATTAAAATATATGTATTTGGTAAATACCATTGTGAACTTACTTCTTCTGAGTGCATTTTGTGCATCGTTGGTCATTGCATCTGCTTCATCAAGAATAATCAACTTAAATCCACCTAAATATACCAAACAGAAATAGTAATGCATAAAGTTGAATTAAATTGAATGTTATACACAAATTCATGAAAAAAATTTACACTCCATACCTTTGAAAATAGTTCTTGTTGATGCAAAACTTAAAATTTGTCCTCTAACTATCCCAATACCTCTATCATCAGAAGCATTTAGTTCAAGTACCTAGAAATATATACGAGTTACTCAAATCAAATTTTATAAATGGTCAATATTGAAATGTACCATTGAATTTAACTGTGCAGGTGTATATAGACGTTTTGCGCATGCCAAAATGGTACTTGTTTTTCCTGTACCAGGAGGACCATAGAATAATAAATGTGGGAGTTGATCAGCATCAATGAATTTATTGACTGAAATAGATAAAAATATAATAATCATAGGAAATATACATGTACCTAAGATAACAAATCAAATAATTAGTAAGAAATATGGTAAATATGTGTCAAAAAACTATTCTGTTTAAATCAATAGTCAAAAACATAAAATCATGGTTAATAGAAGATAATTTCTATGTGATGTTTATAAAGATTCTTATCCAGGTTTCTTTTAGGCAAGCGTTATTTAGAATCAGATATCATAAAAAGAAAAGTTTTGATCTCATATTAAGAACAAAATTACTATTACAATCAATAGTTGTCATTTGTTTAGTGCAGAGCTTCAAAATTCTAAATATACTGGATTATGAAACATCTTGAAAATAGTCTTATTTTTGCAAAGCTAATTAATGATCAACCATATTTTGAAGACCACTTTCAGGCCATAAACAATCAACATTAGACATCATTAACAGTTAATCGGGTTCAATTATTTAAACATGTGTCAAAAATCCAGCATTATCAACAAATGTACAATATTTAAAAAAGAAAATATAATTAACAATATTCTATACTTGAGACTCTATTTACACATATTTTGATCAGGCAAATATAAGCAAGACTTGGCATAAAAATAAACAATAAAAATGCATTACTTGTTTTAATAATTTCCTCATGAGAGACCAAATCATCAAGCTTAGCTGGTCGATATTTTTCAACCCTGAAATTACAATAATTGTAGTAATTTATTGCATTCCTAAAAGTTGTACAATAAATTTAATATTTTTTACCATGGCAGATTTGATGAGGGTAACTTTCCTAAAGTCATTTTAGTGCTTTTAAAGTATTTAATACAATTGTATCACCATGAAATAAAAATATACTAATTAGATTAATACTATTCAAATTCAAATAATTATAAGTAATGAAAGTAACAACTATAAACTAAATAACCAAACAACAGCAACAGTTAGCGATAACCACAATTGTAAAATGTCAAATGACAAATAGTTCCCGCGCATACATTTTAAACAGCTTGTGAATGATAGATGTCACTAATAGTTTTGGAGAAACTTCAATTTAGTTCAAAAATGATATATTAAAGAATAAGAATTTATTATTTATATGCAAAACAGTTAATGAAAATATTAAGATTGTTGAATGTTTAAAACTTTAAGGTACAAACTTTACACAAGTAATGGGATATGTCGGTTCTTGTAAGTTATTTTTTAAATATATTTATTTACTTACAGAATATATATTTACAGATTTATGGACTTATAGAAATGCTAAAATGCCAATTCGCATTTTACCATACTGAAGTATGGCAGAATTAGTTTTCAAACAGTTTTACTTTAATTGATACTGTATTATACGCGTTAATTAATGGGATTATTTAAATAAAATATTGGTTCAAGAATATTAATCAAAGGTATTACTCATTTATAAAAAAAGGTTTGATCATAAATGCTATTGAATATTCTATATTAATTATATTGAATTATATTATATATAATTCTCAACATTTTATTTAAATTCATAAATTGTTCGTTAGTTAAATAGGCGTTGCCAATATTACCAACAGATGTCACACTGACAATGTATTAATAGATTGTGATTGTCATTATGATGTCAAAATACTTTTTACTGATTTAATTTTCGATCACTATTTTACATGTATTGTTAAATGATTACATTTTCTTTCTGCAATTTGCATATTTGACATATTATTGGCGAACCACTAAAATATCTTCAAAGCTGTCAGTACCTTGACATTCAGATGTAGGTTACTTGCGAGTTTAATGTTGAACAAAATAATTAAAATACATTATGCACGGTCTGTGATAGTTCAATTCAAACCAAATATATTAATTAAAAATGTCGCTGAAGCCCAAAAGTGTGGATTTCGATCAGATCTGGGCGGGTCTAAAAATAATAGTAAAAGATATAGTTTCTTTGAAAAGAGTTGAAATCAAAGACTGGCATAGCAGCTTTAGTGTTGTTTATTCGCTGTGCACTGCGAATCCGGAGCCCTTCGCCGACAGATTGTACACAGAGACTGAATTATTACTCAAAAATCATGTAATAGATCTTCTACGAACAGAAATTCTCACAGAAAATAACAAGCTTTTGGTTACTAGTGAATCAAATGATGAATTTCCTTTGTTATCTAAATATTCTAAGCTGTGGTCGAACTATGAGAATGGTATTAAGTTTCTTGATATTCTATACTCATATCTGAACACACAACACATTAAAAAGCAGAAACAATCTGAAGCCGAAATTATATATGGTAGTATAATTACAACAGATTATGATAAAATGGAAATTAAAGAATTAGGTTTGGATCTGTGGAAATGGCATATGATAATGCCTTTAAAAGATTACCTGTTATCCTTTTGTCTCCAAGGAATTGATCGAGCCAGAACCGGTTCACTAAATAGCGAGGAGAGGAAGAATTTAAAAACGGTTATCAATAGCTTTGTGGAAGTAGAAGGTTATAAGAAGAAAGGTAATTTAAATCTATATCGTGAAGTATTTGAGATTACTTTCTTAGATGCTTGTGCACAACATTACAAACTGGAAGCTTCAAAACTTCTTCAGCACTGCACAGTTAGTGAATATATGGAACAAGTTATTCAAAAACTTCATGAAGAAGTAATATGTACTCAAGTTTATATACACACCAGTACACACCCTAAATTGAGACGCAAGAGTGAGGAGTGCATGGTTTTAGAACATAAAGACTTCCTATACAGTGAAGTATATGAAATGGTTTCTCAAGAAAAGAAAACAGATCTAAAAAATATGTACACTCTTTTGCAACCTATAGAAAATGGTTTGTCTAAATTAATTGCTACTTTAAATGAGCACATCAAACAAGAAGGTATGAGAATATTTTCAGGGCTAAAAGGGGATAATATACATGTACAATTTGTGGAACAGATGTTGGAGATTCACAAGAAATATAAGCAAATGATTTTAGAAGTATTTTCGAATGATCAATTATTTTGCAGTGCCATGGATAAGGCATGTGCAACAGTAATTAATGCTAGAATTAATGAAAGAGCTCCTTGCAGAAGTCCTGAATTGCTCTCTAAGTACTGTGATAGTCTTCTTAAGAAATCTTCAAAGGGTATATCGGAGTTAGAAATTGATGAAAAACTTACAGCTAGCATCACCATATTCAAATATATAGATGACAAAGACATGTTTCAGAAATTTTATAGTAGGATGCTTGCTAAGCGTTTGATACATCAACAATCCCATAGCATGGATTCGGAAGAAGCTATGATAGATCGATTGAAGCAAGCTTGTGGATATGAATTTACCAATAAATTACATCGCATGTTTACAGATATGTCTATATCTAGTGATTTGAATGCTAAATTTCAGAATTACATCAAAGACAACAATCTGGATTTAGGTATAAATATGTACATGCTTGTTTTACAAACAGGGGCATGGCCTTTAGGTCAAACACAAACTCAATGTGCAGTTACAGTTCCGCAAGAACTAGAAAAGTCCATGCAGATATTTGAAAGCTTCTATCACAACCATTTCAGCGGTAGAAAATTGAATTGGTTGCATAGTTTATGCAATTGTGAAATAAAATTGTCATATTTAAAAAAAACTTACATAATAACTATGCAAACTTATCAAATGGCAATTTTGTTCTTATTTGAACAAACAGATTCACTGCTGTATAAGGATATTGAAGAAGCTCTACAATTAAATAGTGATACTCTACAAAAGCATGTTTCAAGTCTTATAGATTCCAAATTACTTCTAGTGAGTACCGACGGAGAACTAGTAAGCAATTCTAAAATTTCTCTAAACCTCGAATACTCCAATAAACGCACAAAGTTCAAAATAACAGCAGCATTGCAACGTGATACTCCGCAAGAAGTCGAACATACGATGACAGCTGTTGAAGATGATAGGAAAATGTTTATACAGGCTGCTATAGTCAGAATTATGAAATCCCGTAAAGTCCTGAAGCACAATGCACTTATTCAAGAAGTATTGTCACAATCAAAAGTCAATTTCAATCCCAATATTGCTATGATTAAGAAATGTATAGAATCTTTAATAGACAAGCAATATATTGAACGCAAACAGAACTCTAGTGATGAATATAGCTATGTTGCATAAAAAATAATGTTATTTTTTGAATATTATATTAAAACTATTTGCAAAACTTGTAAAGTAATGTTTTGTAAAATAATTTTGTAAAATAATTTAATTCAATGAAATGTTAAGTTCAGTATGCATTAATAAATAGTACATGAAAAATCAGCACTGTTGTATACTGCCAAGTAAAGGAAATGTTTTGTATTATATACATTTTTTGAATTTTATTTCTATATCCGATTTTATTGATTTTATATAGAGGTGTGCAAATAGGCTAATATATTGAAATATTTTAACATGTTTTATCTTTATTTAATATTTTGAAAACAGATTTGTGTATCTTTTATTGTAAGACATGTATGGGATTGTTTTTGAATAAAAAATATTTAAAATCTTGTACTGCATGTTATTTTCAGTATAGTATTTGTAACAGCATAGTAAATTAATAATTTATAATGTGTATACATATTAATTGAAATTCTTAGTTGAATTAAACAAATTCTATAATGTTGAATTATTAAGATTGTCTATATTTGCATTTGCATGCATTTGTAATACACATTTTACGAATTCATAGAAATTTGTCAATAATTAATACTTTATTACAATCCTTTGTTGTGTATTTACAGACACTACAAGTGTAATTCTATACAAATAAATATAAATAACGTTTTGCACTATAAATAATATTAGATTAATTCGGTTTTTAATTAATGATAATAGTTGAATTTCAAATTTGAAACTAATTTGAAATAGGAGTCCAATAAGAATCAATTAGTATATTGTCTAGGAATAAGAATCTTATATAAATTCTCATATATAATTTTTTTTATGGATATGTCAAAAAATGGCCAAACACGTGGTGAGATAAAATATCTTTGTGTCAAACATTTTACATATTTATTTTATTCGGCAAGTGTTTACATATAGTTTTCATAATTTTTCCAACAAAACTAATAATGAAAAGGTTCTTAAATAACTAGAAAATTAAACTAAAACTAATAGATTTTAAATTAGTAGATTTATAAAGTAACAAATGATTGTTAAGTTCTGTGTTGAAACTAAATTAAGAAGTGCAAATTTTAATATTTTACATATCCATAACAAGTTTAATAAAAATGAATGTGAAAGAAGTTTATGATGAAAAAGTTTATAAATTAATTTCATGGGTGCAAAAACAGTTTCTATCAGGCGAACCTGTGACTGGTGATTTTTTTGAGGTTAGGTTTCATGTTTATATTTCATTATTATAATTTCTTGAATATATTATATTTTAAATTGTTTAGGATTACATTATTAGTTGTTTTTTTTTTTTTAAATCGTAGATTCTACATTTAATTTATCAAACAATTGTGAACCTTAACCATTTTGTTTGAGACAAATTAAACTAAAAATTAAAGAATTCTTTATATACAACTTAATTCTAAAATTTATAAGTTTTGAAACAATAAGACATATTAGCAACAGTATCCATTCTATTTGTAAGTCAAAGTTCGCGGACGTGAATGCTATGGCATCCATTATCATTGTGATGCAGAATGACATGAATGCTATAGCATTTAAATAATAACCTTATGTTTTTGTAATTATCAATAACTATTAACTTAAGTAACTGGTTCTTGTGATATTATCGTGTTATCTTATCTTTTACCTGTATATCTACCAATTTGCGTAATATTTGACGTGGATTCTATAGCATTCATTATAATTTGTGATGCACAATGGCGTGGATGCTATAGCATTCGAATTTTAAAGTCAATTATCTTGTCACTAACATTGCGTTTCTGTATTTATTATACCTGTCAAGATAATAAAGAAATTGATTCTTTAGGTATTTTCGTGTTATCTTTTCCATGTGTATGTGCTAATTTGCGCAACACTTGACGTGGATGCTATAGCATCTGCATTGTGCACTAGATTTGACAATAGAAGCCCTAGACAATAAATTGTAATATATGATTGAAGCATCACATATACATAATATTATATTCATTATAAATTAAATACACAATATATTATATTATACATATTTGTCTATGCAAATACATTGTACAACAGAAGTTTTTTGATTTACTTTAAAAATGTATTCATATAAGAAGCGTAGACAGATTTTGGAAGTGTTCTGCGATACTGATTCAGATGAAGATACAGGTTAGTGTATTATTCAAATACTTGAAAATAAAAGAATACATGAATTTGATGAAGATTCTTGTGATAGGAGGTCGACAGTTGAATGAAAATACAGGAGAGTGTACCCCTAATTCATTTCTTTCAAATGATAAGAAATTGTCAACATCATCATCTTCTGATTCGGAGGATACTGCTGATATCAATATTGCAAATGAGACACCTGACACAGATACACCATGGAGTGAAGATACAGCAGATATTCAAGACTTTCACTTTGATTCGTCTTCAGTGGGTATACCCGATACTCTTATTAACTGTAAAACTTTGAAGGACATTTTCGATAAAATTTGGAATCAAGAAATAATGGATTCAATTGTTAGTTGTACAAATAAATATGGGACCAAATTACAGAGCTTCAAGGAAACAAACCTAGATGAAATGGAAGTATTTATTGGTCTGTGTTTGCTGCAGTCTCAAATACAGACACCAGACGTCCGTTCTAACTGGTCAAGCAACCCTTTATATTACCATCCAATTTTTGGGGCATCAATGGCGGGGCGCAGATTTGAACAGCTGCTGCGTTGTTTGAACTGTGAATCCATAACAACAAATGAGAGACTACCTAAGGTTTTTGATTTTCTGAACCTTGTAAATAATTCTTTTCAAGCTGCATATAAGCCTGGAAAAAATTTATCATTAGATGAGTCCACAATGCTTATAAAATCAAAGAAAAATAATTATGGGATTCAATTCTACGAACTTTGCACACATGATGGTTATGCTCTTAATGTAGAAATATATAAAGGCAAAGTATCAAAGGATACTCATTGCTTGTCTGCAGTGGATTCTGTGGTTATGAATCTAATGAAACCATATTTATCGAAGGGCTATTCATTATTTATGGATAGCTACTACACTAGTGTTGCACTGAGTAATCAATTACTTGGTTTTCAAACTCATACCACTGGGACTTTACGTACCAATCGCAAAGGGAATCCAAAAATCATAATACAAACAAGATTGAAGAGAGGAGAACACATATGGAGAAGACAAGGCAATGTGTATGTTAGTAAATGGAAGGACAAACGGGATGTACTCTGTATAACAACAGAAACTCATCCTGAATTAATTATTGTGCAGAATAAACATGGTACTTGGATAACAAAACCGATAGAAGTAGCCCAATATAATGCAAACATGCCGGACAGATATGATCAGATGACAACATGTCATTCATCACCTAGAAAATCTATCCGATGGTACAAAAAAGTAATATTCCGTTTACTAGATATCTCAGTATGGAATTCTTATTACCTTTATAAAAAGATAAATGATTCAAACATTAGTTATCTCGATTTTCGAGACCAGTTAATAAATACGCTTTTAAAAATCCCTCATAATTCAAATGGACGTGACTTTGTGCTTGAAAATGCTAATCCACAAACACATGTTAGGTACAATCCAACAACAGCTCTTCAAAATGCACACTATCAGGAAAAAATCCCGCTGCCGCCAAATTACAAGCGCAAAACGTATTTCTTAAAATGCAAGTACTGTTATAGGCAGAAAATAATTAAATTCACATCACACCGGTGCCAGGATTGTACACATAAACCTCCACTGTGTCCAGGAGAGTGCTTCCGACAATGGCATTCACCTCCTGCAGATCAAAATAAATAGTAAATAAATAGTTGAACCTCATTTTTTATGTATTCTGCTATAGCATTCACATCATTTGTAAGAGAAAATTTGATCTGTATTGACTTGAATGCTATAACATTCATTGCATATAACAATTAAAATATAATAATCTGACTACTCTTATAAATGGTGTTGATTCAAATTTTGAATATCACAACCAATTTGAAAATAAATTAACTGATTTTATAAATTAAGACATTTTATACTTTGAACTAATTTATAAGTAACTAGAAAACCCGACGAACTCCGTTTCGCCACCAGATGGTTTCGTGAGAAAGATGAAGAATTTTTTGTTTTTTTTTTTTTATATTTGAATAGAAAAAATTTGATTTTATTATACAACAGAAATGAATTTATTTCGATTACAAAAATGGAGTGTTTTTTAGTTGAACTTTTCTAAGTAAATGAAAGTGAATCCGCAAATTATCCGTTTCATTGAAGTGCTCTTTAGTAAACCACATTTTTTGTTTTTTGGTCTGACGTTAACACAAACAAAGCGGATGGTTTCCCAACTCGTGAACAGGCAACGTATAACTGCCCATGTGAAAAACAATGATTTTCTAAATAATTTATTTGAAATTTATCCCGCAACCACTAAGCGACTGGCCTTGCGACTTGTTATTGGGAACGCAAGGCAAACTGGAAATTGCAATCGTTTAAAGTCAAACGGAAAACCAGTCGGAATCATTGGTATGTCACCAAATCGCCAGCAATTTTTGATTGAATGGTGAAATTCAGTGCGTGTACATCATTATTCTTTGCGGCAAGAATTGCTCGTTGACTTAACTAAGCATAATTCTGATAATTCTCACTAATATCATTACTCGAATTTTTAATTACGGTGCGAGAAGTTCCAGTGCGTGAAGTTCCAATTTGCATTAGGGCACGATGCCATGCACCACTAATTTCCTTAGTTATAAACCTTGCGGAGCCCGAGACCTTTCCAACGAATGCAAAATTGTCGAAATCGGTTCATGCTTTCTGGAGTTATTTCGTCAGGAAGGAAAACCCGACTTATTTATATTATATATATATAGAAGATAATAAATCGGTTCAAAGTAGTTTATATATTTTTGGATAAAATTGCACAGAAATATTGCAATTGGATTTATTGAAAAACGTATAATTTCGGACATCATTAATTTATTAATAAACTATTTTGCTTATACAATATTTTTTTTTTACTAAATTCAACTGCATCATATTCATAATATTTATTTAATATGGAATATTTTATTTAATATAGAATAGTTTAATAGACTATAATAAATAATAATACAATATTTTCAAGTAATATATTTCTTATTACTATGAATATTGTTAAATAAATTTATGCTTACTATTCCAGGATTTGTTGAAAGACATAACATGGGACAATCAGCAAATTTTATTAAATTCAACAGTATTACATCCATTAGTCAAGAAATATCTTATTAAAAAAGACTATCAACGAAATTTTTTACGAACTATCATATCTACACTCGAGAAACAAAATATCGAAGTACACGATGATTTATATACCAATTTCTGTAGATTAAATACAGAAGAAAACTGTGATAAAAAGTCTTATAAACACTACATAGTAGATAAAGGAGGTTTAAAAACTATTATTACTATTAAGGAATCAATAAGTTTTGTATCAGAAGGAACAACTGGCCTTTGCAGTTGGGAGGTATTGCAATTTTTATTATAAATTTAATATATTTATTTATTATTAAGTTAATTAGGAAATATATATATTAAGCATTGACTGAATGTGTAATATATTTGATGAAATTCTGCTAAATAATATAAAATTGATTATCAATTTATGTTTTATTTATTCATTTATATTTACTTAATTTCTTTTTAAAATCTTTATTAAAACCTATAAAAAACCATATATGCTAAGGATGAATTTTATATAGTATCAATGTATCCAAGTTCAGAATTTCATTCTAATATTTTGTTTATTTATTTTATAGGCATCACAAGCTTTGGCAGAATATTTTATAGAAAATTCAAATTTAGTAAAGAATCAAACGATTCTTGAACTTGGAGCTGGCATAGGTTTAACAGCACTATTTTTATGGACAATTTGTGAACCAAAAAAATACTATGTTTCTGATTGCCATAAATCAGTGCTTGATCTATTAAGTGAAAATATTGCACTGAATTTTAGTGATCAGCGTAATGAATACTTGGAATTTACAAATTTTACTGTTTGCACCGAGAACAAAATGAATGATGTGGATACAAGATTTATAAAAACATGGAGAAGTCCAGAGGATAATGAGCTAAGTATGAGAAATTTTTATTCTCTTCAATTTTGTCTTTATAATTATTCATTACTATTATAGAATATTGTATTTTCAGGTGTAGTAAATTTATTATGGGAAGACACAGATTATTTGGAGGAGTTTTCAGATATAGATTTAATTCTTGCTGCTGATGTAGTTTATGATCCAAGTATCATTCCATGTTTGTGCAACTGCCTTAAATTATTATTGATGAAAAATGGAAAAAATAATTGTACTGCATATATTGCATGCACAGTTAGAAATCAAGATACAATTTTGAATTTTGTCAACAAAATAGGTAATTAATAACAAAATGTAAAAATAGTAGAATTTTTAAATACTTACACATAATTACTTACTTTAATACTTACACACAATTACTTACTTTTCTACTTAAGTTTAATTAATTATTTTTTTTATTACATAGATGGTACTTCATTTTAATTGAAGATTTTGAAGATTTTATTTGATATTATATTTATAAGAGATTATTTGAGTTAAATTTATCAAGGATTATTTGAGTTAAATTTATTGGAAATTATTTAGCTTAAATTTATCAGTGGTTCAAGTGTATCTTATTTATTAGACTTGTATATTTTCAGGAAACTTACAACTTGAAATATCAAAAATGACCAGATTTGCATTTCCACAGAGTGGCACAAAATATAAAACACCAGTGGATATTTATAAAATATGCTTGAAGAGATGACAGAAAACATATATTTATTTTATTATTAATTTGGAATTGATACATCAATAACATATTGAAAGAAGTATTTGAAAAAACTGAATATTATATTATGACATGTGAAGATTGTGAAACATAATACTTAATTGTATGATTAAGGTAATTAGTTATTTTTAAATAGGTTTGAAATTATCATGTTAAATTGCTAATTCTCAGTTTAAATCAAAGTCATTGGTTTTAAATTCTTTCAAAATTAAATTACATTCATATTTACATTTTTGTAAAATAAATTTAGATGGTTATTTATAAGATATTTTAAAACATCTGAAATAAATGAGATTAACTGCCAATAATTAATAATATGACTGAACAATAAATAAATAATTCACTCCAATCGATTTTTTGTAATATAAATGTATATTAGTTATAGATTTATCTATCAGCTTTTTGTATTGTACAAAGCAATCTTTTATAAATTAAATTAAAATATTATTTTCACATATTTATGAAGAGATTTTTTTGTTATAACAATTATATATTTACTTATCAGCTTCTTTAATTTAAAGACTGTAATATTTATTGAATAACTTTAAAAGTTATGGTGTAACTCAAAGTAATTTTTGGGAAATGAAGAATTGATTATTTTTGTTCTATAATGTTATAACAGTTAATAGTCATCTACCAGGTCTTAAAGACTAGTAATACTTATGGAATAACTTCAAAAATTTTGTATAACACTAAGCAATTCTTTAAAAGTTGAATTAAAACATATTGCATGTATATTTATAAATCGATTATTTTTTGTTTTATAATATTTTAAGGATTATATATTTAGACATCAGATCTTTTCAAAACTAGTAATAGTTATTGAATAATTAAAAAAAAAATGTATTGCGTAAAGAATCCTTTTGAGATTTCAATTGAAATATATTATTCATATATTTATAAATGGCTTATTTTTTGTTTTATAATGTTATGACATTTATATATCTACCTGTCAGCTATTTTAAAGACTATAGTAATCGTTATTGAACAATTTTTCTACACATTTGCAGAAAGCAAAGCAATCCTTTAAAAATTAAATAAAAATCATATTTTATGTACATTTATAAATTTATTATTTTTTGTTTTATAATGTTATAACGTTTGGGTTATATATTTACCTGTTAGCTCCTTTGAAGACTAAATAATAATTATTGAATGACTTCAAAGCTATAATTTTAAAATTAACTTCAAATATATTTTTGAAATATTATATGGAATGATATATGTGTTGTAAAATGTTATAACAGTTATATATTTACGTATCAGCTATTTTAAAGTCTAGTAATAGTCATTGAACAACTTTTCAAAATGTTTGCATAATGCAGAGCAATCCTTTAAAAATTAAATAAAAAACATATTTGTTGTACATTTATAAATTAATTATTTTTGTTCTATAATGTTATAATGGATAATCTTTATGTACCATTCAAAGTTTTTGTATAACTCAAGCCAATTCTTTAAAAATGAAATAAAACATATTTTTTGTACATTTATAAATTGATTATTTTTTGTTTTATAGTGTTATAACGTTTATATATGTACAATGTACATATCAACTCCTTTAAAGAATAGTAATAGTTATTGAATGAATATTACGAGAAGCAATGTTTTAAAAATTAGAATAATCTTTTATATATTTATGAAATGATTTACTTGTTGAAAAATGTTAAAACTGTTATATATATATATATATATAAATATATATATATATTATATATATAAATATATATATATATATATATATATATATATATATATATATATATATATATATATATATTTTAATTTGAATTTGAATATAAATTTTATACGTCTCAGACAGACAGAAGTGTCTGGTATAAGATATGGTACAAAATATTTATATAAAGTAATTTACAAAGCTCATTTTGAAGACAAATGATTAATTTGTAATGATAAGAATTATTGAATGACTTCAAAGTTAAGGTGTTACTGTGCCCATTTTCTTTTAAAAATTAGATTAAAATATATAATAAATATTATTTATCATTCATGAAATAATCTATTTATTGTATAATTTTATAAATATTTACATATCAACTGAGAGGAAATGTCATATGGAGCGCTAGTAAAATATATAATGAATTGCCAAATGATATTAAGATGACCAATGATGACGATAAATTTAAAAGAAAAATAAAGAAATATTATAAGGAAATTGAAGACAAAGAAGACTGAAGAGTTATATAAAGATATTTTAATTATAATAGATATTATATTAATGAAATAGTCAAATGAAATATATATAAAAAATATGAAAATTGTTTTCACTTTTGATATGAAAATAATGTATATATATAAATTAAAAAAAATATATATCAGCTCCTTTAAAGACTAGAAATAGTTTTTTATAGTTTTATTGACCTTGTAATCTAGTACATAATCTAAAATTAATTATTCAATTTTATTTTCTCTAAAAATTAATTTAAATTTCTATTTTCATTCAGGCGCAAAAATTCAAATTTCATTAACCAGTGCTGCCATCTAACAAGAAACAATTAATCACATAACCTAATTTCTGGCAACACTCCTTCTCCAGCCGCCCATTTCAAACCACTAGTTGCTCGCGAACTGCCATTGAGTGTACATCGTATGTTTCGTCTCTGATAATAGTGTTCTAATTTCGATGAATTAAACAATATCAAATGAATCACAATTAATTGTATGGTGTATTCGAATAAAGTTGTAATAGAATCAAGTAAGAAAATGTTGGTCGCGAATAAATGATACAAGTGGTTATAAGGAACAATTGTCTTAAGTGTTATTACAAGAGTTCTCATTAACTTTGGTAAGTGATAATCAGAATTGTATGTTGTGTTAGTTATTAGAATCCAATCTGTATCTTTCGTCCAATCTAATGTGTTTCATGTTAGGTTAGGTCGATGCATTATAACGGCAAAATGCGATCGGGTGTTGAAGAGTTTTTTTGTAGAGTTGTTATTGCATTTTCTCGTTTAACGTTTATGTACCTATATATCGTGTTGTGTACAGTTATTCATGCGTAAGAGAAACATTCATAGCTCGTTAACTCGACTTTATTATTATTATTTTAACTCATGCCTTTTGACAAATATGTCAGCTGAAGATATTGCAACGACCTGGTGGTTAAGCAATTTGGAATTGGTAATTCCAAACTCTACGGTAACAATAAGGTTTGATTTACTTGAAGGTCCGCGGGCAAAAAGGTCCACCACCAATATCTCAAATATCAACACAACAATATTTGAAAGTAGAGGGCAATAAATGTATAACCAGCTTGATTTTTACGTCATTGCTATCGGGAGATAAGCGACAATGATTGACAATTCATAACAAAAGTATTTCAACTAGCTGTAAGTGGGATTCTGTCTTAAGGCAATTAAGGCATCGTGCCTTAAGGCAAATTGCTGGAACTTCCCGTACCAAAAATTATTAATTTTTTTTGAAAAGATTAACATTTTGGAAAAAAAGATTACTTTGAAAAAATAAGATTTTTGAAAAACTATAAATTGGACAAAAAATCGTACTGCTTTAACTGCATAGGGACAAAATATAAAGCGCGTAAGCGCTGCGTCGCTGTCTAACGCATAAGCATTGATACGGAACCCATAGGAATGTTAACAAAATGTATACCTAATGTTAAAATCTCTATAAAAATATCTGATAATTTGATATGTCTAATGATCATTTTTGACCGCCAAATGGCTCATTTTTTTACTTTTTTCTCCATATCTCCGAAACCGCTAGACCTACCTTCATGAAAATTTTATCGATTCTTCATCTTGTCAATACAAGTGAAATGTTTTTTGAATTATTCAAATCGGACGCTCCGTTCTCTTAAAAAACTGAGTTACCATTTTCGGCACTTTTTGCCCCGTATCTTCGGAACGGCTAGACCTGCCTTCGCCAAAAACTAATCAGCACGTCTCCTTATCAATACAAATCGAATGTTTTTTGAATTATTCAAATCGGTTGATCCGTGTTCCCGAAATCGTCGACGAAAATTTGTATCCGCACATACATACACACACGTACATATATACACACACATACACACACACACACACACATATATATATCCATTTTTTCTAAGGTATGCCAAAATGTTCAGAAACCTCTGAAACGTAAAGATATATAAATAATTTCATTTTCGATTTTTTTGCGATTACTATAACTTGCCCTACGGGAAGTTAAAAAGATTTAAAATATTTATAAAGATTTAAAAGTATTTTTTGAAGATTGAATAGATAAAAGATTATTTAAAGATATCTTAATTATAATAAATATTATATTATTGTATAATGAAATAGACAAATGATATGTGTATATAAAATATGAAAATTGTTTCATAATCTCTCATACCAGACATCCCTGTCTGACTGAAAATAATATATAAATGAAATAATATATGAATGAAAATAATATATAAACTAGTGGGGTGGGTGGCATCGTGCCTTAAGGCAAATTGCTGGAACTTCTCGTACCGTAACGAAATGTTCGAGGAATACTGAATGTTTTCAAATAGATTATTGTAAATATTGTAACATTGTCTAATATTTATAAGAACTTTAGTCAGAATAAAAATAAAATCTCGATATACAAGAAAAATAAAAAAATAAAAAAATTATACATTTTTTTTTCCAAAATCTATTATTTTTTCTTAGTTCTCTCAAAAACTGCCATTTTTTACATATTTAGCTTTGCCAAAAACTAATAGACGCTTCTCCCAATCATTACTAATTGAATGTTATTTAGATCATTCAAATCGGTTACTCCGTTCTCTCAAAAGGTCGATTTCTATTTTCTGCACTCTTTGCTCCGTATCTCCGAAACGGCTGGACCTGCCGTCGCCAAAAACTAATCAGCTCTTTTCCCTATCAATAGGAATCGAATGTTTTTTGAACCATTCAAATCGGTTGATCCGTGCGCCCGAAAACGTGACTGGAAATTTGTATCCATACATACATACACACACACACATCAATTT